CGGGGGGGGGGGGGTCGAAACGATCGTAAAGGCGGTATACTACGTATACGCGCCAATAGTGGTGCCTCATTTATGAAGACCAGTTCTGCATTCGTGTTGCCTTACAAATGATGCCAAAAATCGTCACGTTTAGGTGCGGAATCAGTCACTATTAAAAATAAATCTTATATAAAAATACCCCCCCCCCTAAAAAGTTCATTACTTCTTGATATAACAGGCAAGAATATTAATTGGAGGAGGGGGGAAGGGAAGTCGACCACATCATGATGAGGCCCTCTCCCTTTGACTCGACTCAACACCAACGCGTGGCACGCATGAATCTGAAGGATTCAAATAGTTGGGAGAGGATTTTCAAGATAACTTAATTAGCCTCTTATCCTAATGTTAAAAGAAAGAAAAGGAAAAAACCAATAAATAATCAAAAGCTGATCATTTCAAGTGAGACCACTTGAGATCTAGAGCCGTGATAGTGAAGAGAGCAATATGTGCATTCCTGTATGAGCCATGGTTACCACATGCTTTTATGTGTCTCAAAGGTTCAACCCTGCATGCACTTAGTGGTATTTTCGCTATCACGGTAGTAGAAATCATCGCATTGGCTTATCGCCCCCCTCTTAGGCCTAGGTAGATGATCTCATACTCCATAATATTAATACTCTATATGAAATACGATTGCAAATGAGTTTTATGTGTTGTGGGCTAGTGTATTTTGAAAATGAGATTATAGTTTGCACTATCATTTTACAAATAGTCTAGGAGAATAATATCAGTTCTTGAGCGTACTCGTGCTGAGTAAATCCTGGATATATTTTCTTAGCCTTTTTTTTACAATCCTGCGATCTATTTACTGTGATGGAACTGTATCTACAATCATAGTGGTTTCAGTTGATATTTACCTCGTAAAATTAGTGCAGTGCAGTTTTCTTGTCAGCGCTTCCTGGAGTGAATTTGATTCGCAAAGGAGAACTAAACGGAGTAAACGGTAAGACGTAATGGATGATATTTTGGGAGATTTCTTTCAAATATTATAGAAAATACTGCAATCTTTACATGACAACACTGCAAAAGTATCACGAAAATACCATTGTCAATATTTTGAGCATTCCGCTCAAAAATCTTGTCAGAAAACTTCTAAAATATTTCTCAGCAATAGATATGCAATATGAAATATGATACACCCTTAATACGTTGAAAATGTTCTGGAAACCTATTGTTTTGCGAGTGGGTCTTATTTTGATATGGCCCATGTATTCAAACATTCCCTCAAGAAAAACTAAACGGCAGTATCCACACTAAGAAACATTTTTTTGTTAATTTCCTCATCGGATTTCTATTTGAGACAATCAAATTCCCGTTATCCCAATGGAATTCTTGTTAAGAAAATAAAAATCCCATTCAGCGAGAATTATTCCGGTTGTGTCAAATGGAAATCCAATTAGGAAATTATTACCAGCACGTTCCTGAATGTGCTTTTTTCCATGCTCTAATGAAACCCATGATAACATTCAACACCTACAATGAATATACAGCAAAATTTTGTCATTTGTTTAGATGGATTTGTTGGAGCGCTTAAACACGGTAATTTTTCCGGAAGCAGTAGGAGCTGGCTGTTTCGGAGATAACGTGAAGAAATTCATTCGTTTCAAAGTTAGCAGCCACCCGGGAACAGAACAATATTGTTCCGATTCCACTTTTGGCCATGTTTTACTCGAGAGAAAGACGGGTTTCTGCTTTGGTCTACCGGTCTTCGTAAAAACACGTAACAGGTGGGTAGTACTTTCCAAAAAAAAAAAAAAAAAAAAAAAAAAAAAAACCTGGAAAAAAGTCTCGTGGATCCAAAGGCTAGACTGGTATAAAATTTCACATTAGAGAACACGGAATCCAAAAAATGTATGACTCTGAGACCCATAAAAAATGACTCGGAGATCCATAATTTCTATCCACAGTGACTTACCGTCTACAGTATGGCTTTCTGAGCCATACTTTATTGGTCGTCTACCTAAAAGCATGGTTCCAAGAAGTATATTTAATGGCTCCATAATCCATAACTCGGCCGGTAAGTCACTCTTCCTATACTTGTTTTTTGAGTGTGATGATTCCATCGGATTTTCACCTGAATCTAAAGTAATTCCGCTTAAATGAAGAGTCTAAGCTCTTGATTCAAGCAAAATTCTGATAGAACCAAGCGTATTTTTTCTTATCAAATTTTTTGAAAGTCTGCTCTCTGGATCAAAGAGACTTTTTTTCCAATGAACTACGTCGGCTTAAGTAGCCCTCAATTGGAAAAAATTTATAGAAATTATAAGAATAGTGATACCTTATCGCAAAATGAAGGCCACTTACTACCACTTTTAAGGTGATTCGATGGACGCCATATTTTGTGTCAGAACGACGTGCGATAAATCGCACCGATTGGCTCTATTTTTTCAGCTACTCGTCATTTTTCTCGAATTTTGAGATCGCAATTCTGTTGTCAGGAGACTAAAGCACTCACCTTCCAAATTTTTAAAAACAAATTCAACGTAATAAAGTCGTGGTTTTTTTAGAGAGAAAATATCGCATTCGAGTGCAGTTTCGATATCAGGATCGAATGCGATGTTTTCTCCCTGAAAAAAACCGCGCCTTTATTACGTTGAATTTCTTTGTTAAAATTGGTGAGCGAGTGCTTTAGTCTCCTGACAACAGTATTGCGATCTCAAAATTCGAGAAAAATGACGAGTAGCTGAAAAAATGGAACCAATTCATGCGATATATCGCATGTCGTTCTGACACAAAATATGGCATCCATCGAATCACCTTAAATCCAGCTTCTGCTCCAATTTTCGCAGGTCCAAATTCCCGACCGAAGCCGAGGCGAACACTATGTTCCACAACGAGATTTTATTCTACAAGACGATCGTTCCCTTTCTTCGTAAATACGACAGATACGACGTCCTAACTACAAGCTTCCCGGAGTTCCTGTACGGAAAAGCGGGCGACGGCCACAATCCTGAAGATGACTTCATAGTATTGAATGATCTCCGTCATAGAGGTTTCCGGCGGTTCATAGGAAAACATTTGGATGAGAATCATTTCCAGCTGATAATGGACAGAGCGGGAAAGTTCCACGGGTTGTCGATACTGTGGCGGGATGAGGATCCAGATGGTTTTGCCGAAGTCACAGGCCGGATTAAATTACTCGATGAGGCGCAGTTATGGGCGGATTTTGGCGAAATCAAATGCAAAAAGGTATGCAATATCCTGAATTTATATTTTCCAGGGCTGGATTTTCCTACTTGCCGCCCATGGGCCGCCTGCATTTTTCCGCCCCCTTCTTATTCGTTTTGAAACATCGATAAAAACCATCAAGTGAACGTGCCAGCGGGGGAGGGGTGCATAAGACGCGTTTGCTCGTGTTGAACACATTTTTTGGGAAAGCCCTGTCAACCCTAGCAAAAGGTCACGGAACTTTGCGCGAAAAGCAAGTTTCGTAAACCTATCTCTAATGGACAAAACCTTCCATTCATAAGAAATAAACGAAAAAATTATGAAAGAGCAAACACAAAATTTGGTTTAATGATTTTATATTCCGCCGCCGCGCTGCGCCGCGCCGACTGCGCCGTGTTTGGCGAAATGCGTGAAGTAATCACGCAGTCTTGTAGGCGCTATACGTTTCACGCTGACCACAATAACCGCACTGTGTTTGATGCAATGCGTGAAGTATTCGTGCAGTCTAGTAGGCGCTAATAAGTGTTACATGCCGATTGCGAGTTCTTCTCCTTTTCATCTCAAGTCCTCGTCGCATTTCTCCCTAAGTTGCACCGTTCCAGACCAAATTGTGTGTTTGGTTTCTCTTAACTCGACTAATTAAAGGTGCTGTCTCTTATATCACTGAAAGACGACAAAATTAGAAATAACTATTCTCTCAGGAAATGAGAGATTTTGTAGCCTTTTCTCGTTTGTAATTTTTTTTTTCTAAATCCGAATTTTTTTATACCTACATTTAGACAAAATCGCAAAATTTGCCGCCCCCTTGATTTGCCGCCATGGGCCGCGGCCCATGTGGCCACCCCCTTAATCCGGCCCTGAACTGGACCGCGTTTAGCGGAAAGAAACCAAGTCACATTAGCTATTGGCATATTTAATTGCGAAATGTTATATTTCACAAGAGAACGTTTGTGCGTATTTTTTGGAAACTTGCTACGTACTGTGCAAAAATTCACTGAAATATGCAGAAAAATCGCACGACCGTTTTCATGTAAAAAATAAATTGTCCGATTCAATTTGGTAGTTGCGATGGACGAAGGAGGTAGGTAATATACTAACTAACGGCAACTCACTAGAGACCCTGTAGTTAGTCCATCATTTTCTTACCTCAGTCTATTAGAACCACCTAGAGTACCTATATTGAGAGAGTATGGCCACTGGGCCCCATGGAGAGGCTTAGGGCCCAAAAACGGCGGTGCTTTGTTTTGGTTTTTGTGGATGGGAGGGGGGTCATTGCCAACTTTTGACGATTTTCACCAACCGCACTTGCTGCCAACCTTACTACATCTAAGATAATTTTTCTCAAAAATTGCACACGATTAGCCTTAAAAATATGTAAAGAAGTCGCAATAGTGCATTTGGGCAAATTTCTCGTTACGATAAGCAAAGAAAACTACATTTTGAGTCATTTTGCATTACATTAATTTATGGCGTCCACCGTTTTTGGGTCCTATGGGCTCCATTCAGCCTAAGATGGCTGAGCCAATCAGAGGTGGTAACACCAGTGGCCATACTCTCTCAATATAGGTACTCTAGAACCACCCATGTCAACCAATAGGATCGCTCCTAACTACTTATGTCTTCTTCGTCTATCGCTTTGTCAATCAATTGAATCAGCCCACTGAACCGATGTAATCCTGTTGCAGGTTTTCAGGGAGTACATGTTCCGCGGCGTGGAGCCCCTGCGGGAGGATCCTGCGTACAGGGATCGCCTTGCGGGGATTTCAGGGACCCTGGAGCGCGCCCACGAGCGGGTGGACGAGTGCATGGTCCCTTCGGGCCCTTTGACGGCCTTGATCCAGGGCGACTTCCACGTCAACAATATGATGTTCAAGTACGGAGCCGATGGCACTCCCGTCGAAGTCGCCTTCGTGGATTTCGGCATCATCAAGCTCTGCTCGCCGGCCGTCGATCTCTGTCGCGTCGCCTTCTTCAGCATGTCGCCGCAGATGAAACGGGATCATTGGAATCAACTTCTCCATCAGTACCATGGTGAGTGTCCAGTCAGAAAAACTAACCTGAATCTTGTGTTAGTATGGACGTATTTCTGTCAAACGGAACCAGAGGCAAGTGGGAAATAAGGGGTGTGCTTGTTAGTTGAGGACCGTAAGAATGAATGGGAATTGAGGACACCGCACCAAGAACAGCTTATAGGCGTATAGGTCGTTATTACGCCCATCTGCTTTTCGGATTCTACTTACCCTGCCCTGGACTATGCTGTGGTATAGATAGAATATAGATAGGTAACGGCTCGAGGTCGAAAAACCTTTTTTTTCCGAGTTAAGTCAGGTCTCTGGATCGATGGGTGCAAGAACGACCTATAAACTGGCCTATAAACTTAAGGGCCTCAGGTGCTAGTTACCCCTTTCTTTACTCACTATCGATATTCTTTCATTTTGCGTTAATCATGCGTGATTAAAATGATTTATACTTCATATTGCCGCCAAAATGACTGTTGGGCGTAATAATGACCTGTAAACCGTTTTTTTTTAAATTAAATATATTAGAGTGTAAACCCAAAATGTATCGCAAAATCTACCCGGCATCCTTCAATAGAAGGGTTTGGTCACTCAAAAACACCAAAACAGGGTACCTGCATAGAAAAGTCTGCGGAATACATCAAAAACAAAACTTTAAATACTTTTTCCTCAAAACGCGGTTTCCAGTTATATTGGTGCGGTGTCCTCCATTATAAAGCACCAGTGACGTCAGCGGCAACGAAGCTATCTACGTTGTCGCTCTTGCTCAGCTTTAACTCGTGAGCCCTGTCCACAACGCTCTTTTCCCATTCCCACGGTTCATGAGTGTCGCATTCAGTTGGCACATGGTTCCGTCTGACAAAATGTTAAATACAGCTTTTCCATTTCTCCAAAGGGAATCATGCCCACTTTAACATCGTTCCTTAAGCAGCTTTCTAGAGCACGCCCCATCTTTCCCACTTATCTTTAGTTCCGTTTTGAGGAAATACGTCCAAATCCTTCCTCAAAGGAGGTGCCACATTGACGGTGACATTTTTAAACGACCCATCTCAGTTTGAGACGTTATGCGGACTTCCTGACATACTTTATTTTTCAATTGGACGTATTTAAGTCGAATAGAACCATATCCATTCTGATAAGATCCCTGATATTCATAAGCATGCATTTACTACGCAGGGCTCAGGTCATAATGGGCGTTGTTTCTTTTGATTTAAATGCGTCCAAAAGAAATACTACTCCACGTCAATTCTGAAAAACTTCCATGATTTTCCTTCTCTGCGCAGAGAAAATCTCTGATAACATCTAGGAATTATATTCATTTGTTATCCCACAAAAAAATAAAATAGGAGAGATTTTCGAACGCCGTAAACGAAATACGTGGTTTGGGGGTTTCACTGTCGATGTACAAAATGTATGAAGCTGATCTATAATGTACTCCAGCGATAATTTTTAGTACTACGGGATCAACTTTAAGAAAAGTTGAAAACATAAAAAAGTAGAGAACATTTTGGCATTCATTGACTCGATGTGTGTGAGAGAGATATCACCCATTGTGTCGAATGAGTGACATCCATTTCCCAAATTTTCGAAAAATATTCACGAAGTCGATGCCATTCTACTCAGTATAAATGCTGCTGCACGTTATGGATTTAGTTTCCTGCACGTATTTGTGGATTACGATGATTATTACTTCTCAAACACACAGACTGTATAGAAGCGCAACGTAGAGGCATATCTCAACACCAGATCACTAAACCCTGGCGTGACGGACTCGAGTCTCCTGTCTCCTAATATTTTTGAAAAATTTGCAAAAATTCAAGATGACGCCTTCACGATCAACACATTTTTCGAGAATCCCACGACACTTTTTTAGGTTTCCGTTCATGCCGAACAAATTTCCCGAGTCCTCAGCATTTCTGATTTTCAGGTTGTCAGACACCTGATTCGTTCCTTCATATGTGCTGGTTACACGCTCAAATTTCCATCAATTTCCGATCAAATGGCGACTGGTGCGCACCATCTACCATCAAATTTCTGCAGCCTGCAAAAATTTTATGGTAGGTGATGGAGCTGTGGGGTTCATCCTTCATCTGATTTCCATTCAACCGTGCTTATTTTATTTCATGCTTATTTCAATCAACACGCTGTTTTAATTAATTTTACTCATCAATCTAGATAACTCTCGACCGCCATCTTGGTCATAATTTTGATCGGAATTTGACGGAAATTTGAGCGTGTAACCAGGCCAATAGGCGTACTTTCATCCGAATAGAGATCGAACGATATTTATTCTTCCAGATTCGCTGTGTCGTCAGATCGGCGACCACCGCTTGAAACCCTCGTTTGAGACAGTTGACGTGGATATCCGTACGAAGGGGATCCATTCTTACTGCTGTGTTGCGACCGTCATGCCCATGGTGATCAGTCTCAAGGAGGGAGTTCAAGTGCCCCAGCCCCCGACACCCACGAATTTGGATCCTGGAGAACTTCAGGAGGCGATCGAGGCTTACGTAAAGAGGATGAAGGAGTTGGGAGGTGCCGATGTCACTGAGTTCCTGGTTGACATTGTCAGGCACATGGTTGACAAGCAGTTCATTTTTGATGGCTGAATTATTCTTCACTGGAAAAAAAACACATTGGATCTAGAGTCCAGACTCTTGAAAACATTGACAAGAAAAAGTACTCTTGAATCAATCAGATTTTTGCTTACATCAAAAGGAAATCCGCTTAAATTAAGAGGCTTGGTTCTTGATTTAAGCAAAAATCCGATTGAATCAAGAGTATTTGTTCTTATCGATGTTTTTAAGAGTCTGGACTCTACATCCAATGTGTTTTTTCAGTGTTCTTCCTTCTTCTTTTTTCAAGGCAACATGGTTTTTCACACATCGTAATTGCAAATGACAATATGCTTCTGATCTCATAACAAGTGCAAGTACGTAGGCAGGCGCAAGGGTGCAGGAAATTCTTAGCCTTCCCATTTTAAAAACTTCTTCTTTCTCGTACATTTCATAAATATGAATTTTTCTTGGTTCTGTACGCATTAATTGCCGTAATTCTGCGCCCGGTTTGGCCAAAATAAATCGCGATTTCGACGACTTTCCTTCTGCAAAACGTCGTTTTCGGGGCCTTCTCATTTTCACCCGCGACCTGGACGGTCGCATGGTCGAGAATTTTTTGCACCCCTGTATGTGGGAATAGAATATTTTTTTAAGGAGGGTTTTCAAAGTCTGAAGCCTTTTTAATCGCATTTGACAGTAGGAAACCATCAAACAGGGTTTTCAAAATCATGAAATCCTCTTCTTCGCATTTATATATTAGTATTTTAGATGTTCAGTAATGCACAGTGATAAAATACGTTTGATATATTTTTATCAGAAAAACAAAAAACTATTACCTGATCGATGCATTTTATCAGATGAAGATGAGTATCCGCAGGATTTTGAAAACACTGCTCAATCGAGCTGGTTTCTTATGTTAAACGCGATGCGCATTATGTTAAACCTCTGGTAGATCAGAGGGGTTCATTTTTAAATTAAAAGTATGTGAAATTACTTTAGAGATTACAGAACATAATGCAATTCAAGTATATGGAAATTAGGGTGGCCCACAAAAAATGAATTTCGGAAATTTATAGCCGTAACCTCGAGTAACCTCGAAAAAATACCCCCTGACACCATGACGGTAACAGCCAAGTTTCATACGTTAGTGCGCCTTCAATTACATTTGATACCGTGCAATACTTTCGTGGTGGAATAGTTGCATTGGCGCCTACAAACCTAACAGGGATACTGCACGCATTGCGCAATGAGTGCAGTATCCCTGTTAGGTTTGTAGGTGCCAATGCAACTATTCCACCACGAAAGTATTGCACAGTATCCAATGTAATTGAAGGCGCATTAACGTATGAAAATTGACTATTACCGTCAACCACTGTTTGCCAAGTGGTAACTTCACGCCGAGTAAAACATTTTACAGGGTCCAAATTTTCAAAAAAGATACTCATGGTATAATCACCGTGTTTTAGCGCACTATTTCGATGGCTCCTGAGTTTTTTGTGGGCCACCCTAATATGCATACATCCTTCATTCTCTCCTTATTCATTCATACATCCTTGTACCTACACGAAGAAGGTTATATTCTCTAAGACGTTAATAGCCTGAGACGCTGAATGTCTTAAAATTATACTAACTAACTAACTATGTTCTCTAGATCTGAGGGAAAAGCATATGCAAGCGATCAGACAGATCATAGTTGAGATGGGCACTGGTGCAGTACATGAGTAGATTACTGCACTTTTGGTAGCCTCTCTAAGAGTAGAATAATATTTTAAGGATATATAATTATTATTTTAAATGCAATTCCCAATGCAAATCAAATTAAGAGGCTGGAATATACAGATCAAATGTTTCTTTCCCTCGTAACCAGATCACACCCTTTGAAAATATGGTATTGTATTTTAAGCCCAGCAAATATTAAAGACATTATTCTATTTGATATAAATTCATATTTTATTTAATATATTATGAATAAATTTCTTGCTTACCTAGCCCTGATGGGCTTCATATTTCATTAAGTGCACACGTCCAGAATCGTGGCGCCTGAAATTCTTCGCTTTTACCTTATACACGCTTGTCTAGAGCCGGCACGATCAGCAGTGGCGTGGCGTGCTTTGCGATACATCGATTGATCCGTCATTTTAAATCTATGGAGAAGGATGGATAAACAGGGTGTCCGCAACGAACACTTTAATGATCGATTTTTTACTATAGCTTCAAATCGGGAAATATCAACAATCGACCATTCACGTCTCGCCACCGACGATCACTCCAGGGCTGAAAACTATTTTACCAAAATTATTTTCCAACAATATCACTTCCCTCCATTCTATTTCACATTGAATTGATTGCTCAAAAATATATAAATGAAGCAAAACGGCGCTGTCGCTTAGCAAAACTGCATTTCATCCAAAACAATTAAGGTGTCATCAAAAATTTTGAAAAAAGTAAGGAATCATTCGAGATTTCTGTAAAACTTTTTCAGGACCCTAGGCTTGCAGTATTTTTGCCTAGTCATGGTCGACACTTTTCAGCAATTTTAATTGAGACCGACTCAATCTTCGTGAGAATTGCTAGGTAACTGAAGGATCCACGACGGGTATGTAGTATGGAAGAACAATATTTCCAACTGACGACCAGATTTTCACTCGTGCGGTTATAAGGTGGAAATACTCATTCCATATTGTACACCACAGTGACTTCTTACTTTTCAAAGATTACAGCAGATGCCTAAGATTTTTAGGCTGATGTAGTTAAAAACATCACTTTATTGAACTTCAATTGTTTTATCAAATTACTGACTATCATGAATGTAGGTATCAATGCTCGCATCGTTTAGAGGAGAAATTAAGAGCGCATCTATATTCAAAATTAGAAATGGGTATGTGAAATCACGAGAAAATGAAAAAATCTGACCTTTTACCGCGGGTCACAAAATCACATGTCACTCTAACTCCGGCAAAAAGCAAAGATTTTCCTTCAGTTTCACGTGATACCACATTCCTATCCAGGAGTTTGAATAGTTGCGCGCTTGATTTCTCCACTTACCGTTGTGATAGCTAATATTTTCCTTCATTTTCACGTGATACCACATTCTTACCCCGGAGTTTGAATAGTTGCGCGCATGATTTCCTTATTGCCGATGCGAGCATGTTACGTACATTCATAAACGGCAGCAATTAGAAATAGGGGAAAAGCCTCGATTTGCCTTCAATACCACATACCTACTTCCGAGTTCGATTAGTTGCGCACTTGGTCAGGTTCAAGCGGACCCATCTTGTCGTTCCCCACCCGAAAGAACTTAACTACATTCCAGCGTTGACCAATTTCCCCTCGAAAATTGCACTTTTACCGAGAGAATCTTGGGCATTTGTAAACGAAAATTTCTAGGGTTGTTCTAATGACCTCATACCAAAATCAGATAAATTTTGGGGGAAAATCGAGCAGGCAGAATCTTTAAAAAAAATTTAATGATGAGAGTCCACTCGTCGTTTCCCTCACGAAGGAGAGTAACTCCACTCCAAGGTAGCAAAGTTGACTCAAACAAATCAATTTTTACTTATGAGAATGTACACTGGAAAAAAAACACATTGGATTTAGAGTCCAGACTGTTAAAAACATCAACAAGAAAAAGTACTCTTGATTCAATCAGAATCTAGCTTAAATCAAGAACCAAGCCACTTAATTTGAGCGGATTTCGTTTTGATTCAAGCAAAAATCCGATTGAATCAAGAGTATTTTTTCTTGTCAATGTTTTCAAGAATCTGGACTCTAGATCCGATGTGTTTTTTTTTTTTTTTTTTTTTTCCCCCCAGTGTACCTGTGCAACTGCTGTGTTTAACTTTTTTGTCATTTTAGGATGAAAAATCAGTGAAATTTTCAGCTGCATATTCCCAATATTCTCATGGTGAAAATGCAATTTGCGAGGAGAAATTCGGCAACATAGAAATGTAGTTACGTTTCTTCGTCCGAGAAACGACGGATTTTGTGATCTTGGAATGAGTTTCGTTCCTTCGACCGGGAAACGTCAATCTGTCTCCCCGACTTGTATCGCTGGTTATCAGCGGACTGATTATTGAAATTGATAGACAAAACGATAGACAAAGAAGACATAGAGAGTAAGAAGCGATCCTATAGGTGGAAACGGGTGGCTCTCATAGACTAAGGGAGAAAATGATGGACTAATTATCGGGTCTCTCGTGGGTTGCCGTTAGTTAGTCTATCACCCACGTCCTTTGTTCATTGCAATCACCCGCTTCCACCAATAGGATTCCTCCAAATTACTTTTGTCGATAGCTTTGTCTATTAATTTCAATAATCGACCCGCAGGAGAGGGCTGGAAAAGACATCGATTATCTCCGTTATAGCCTCCAGTTTGAACGGGAAGAAGAGCATTCGAATAAGGAAAAAACAGAGTTGCCAGTTTCGGAGAATCGCCACAAGTTCCGATTGAAATTGATAGGTGGTGGGTGAGTGTGTCCTGACGAAGCTTACAAGTTTGTCGCGTTAATTCAGGACCGGAACTTACAAGACAACACGGATTATCCCTGGTCAGTCCCGCCCGCCACTGCCGCACAGTGGATCGGTCCAATTGCGATGTCGGACACGAATTTTTTCACTAAAACTGCAAATCTGGATGTTTATTTTGTCACATTTTGAATTTCAAGGGGTGCTCATAGAAGAAAATTTCACGAAGAAACCAATGGAACCACTTTTAAAATCTCAAAGGTGTGTAAAAACGGAGTTGTAAGCGTTTAAAGTTTCCAAATTTTGTCCAACTGTTCCTATTGACTCGTTCCATTGTGTGCCGCTAGTAATCCCTACATGTTCGTGAAATTTAAACCGTGCCGCCATCCTCGAGTCTAGACTGAATCACTCTGGGCTCGCGGACATCATCGGGCAGGAAGAACAACCGGCTTTTCGCGGTATTGATCTGATTATCGAATGTCGCCAATGCTTGGTTGGTACATGCTAACACTGTGTAGATCGTGATTTCGTGACGGACATTCTTGAAGTGAAAGCGGCGCTATCCATTACAAGAAAAAATTAAATTAGTAGCAAAAGACTATGGAACACAGCACTGCCCTGCTATGGAAAAACGATGTACACTG